CCATCATATCCCAACGCATTTCATCGTCATTGATACTGTTTGGCCACAGAGCGGGAATCGATGTATTTCTTGTATTATAATCTTTTCCAGCTTCGATAAGAAGAACTTTGAATCCACGTAATGCTAAACGCGTGGCAACAGTACCCCCACCTGGTCCCGATCCAACAACAATGAAATCATAGAATCCTTGTTCTTTAAGATTTTCATGTCTATTTTTTATCTTGTCGTGTTTTCTTTCACCGTCGTGTGATGCATATGCCAAATGCACAGCAAGTACAAGCACAACTAAAATAATCATATATTTTAGCTGACGCATGATCATTTTTAAATGAAAATGTTTGAGAATACTGGTACTACATATATTGGTTCAAAAAAGTGATATTTCATAGGATACAAACATGGTTATTAAATACGAATTATCTTCAAAACATCAGTGGCCATTAATCGATAATTAAATCGTTCCTATTGCCTATTTTTTATGCTTAGATATTTAACAAACAGATGTCTTGGAATAAATAATCTCTCCATAATGTTTTAATGCTTTTTTTTCCAACGATAAAAAACAGTCAAACAAACAGTCAAACAAATCATAGAGTAAACACCTGCACGGGTTAAGAAAACGTAACTCCAATTCGACCCGATCCGATAAATTTTTACTCTTTTGTTTTGTTCTTAAGTTTATGTCTTTTTATTTACCTATAGACTAGGGTACAGAATTATTACTGTTACTACACACAGTGTTCCTTAAGCACAACAAAAAATTCATAAATTTTGATAGAACTGATATGAGTCCTTCTTTAAAGGTTTTTATCAGCTCACTTTCTTCTATTAACTAACATAATGTCATTAAAAACGGAGTTGGACATCTGACGACCTTGCCTCGTTAGTGAATGCAGCTGTTCTGAAATAAGTATTTCAACTGAAAATTCCAGTAGAGTTAACTTTTCAACGAGTAATACAAAATCGAAATTAGTATTTATATTTTAAATTGCGCCTCAAAATGTTCAACCCGAACCGGACTCTGGTGTCAGGTTGGATCAACAAGCAAATCGTACTGCTCGCCATCGACAAACTCTCCAAATGTGACAGCTTTAAAAGTTTTTCCATTTCAGCGTTGAAATAAAAATTGCGAGTAATGAATTTTGCTAATGCACCTGAAATCATTGTTATTTTAACGGTGATCAGAATTCCTTCTTATAAAACAAGTTTCACTAAATATTAATACAGTAAAGAGTTTTATCTTACTTCATTCTTATGCACTTTGTGAGTCATTTTTCTGTTTCTTCTATAGAGTAAGCAGAAACAAGAAAGAAAAACATGTCACTTTAGTGGTGTAATATGCTGGCTGATGAAAACATATTCTGTCATTTTGAGAGCAGTTTCTTCCACTCAATCATTAAATGTTGATGAATTGAAGAAGATAACCCGAGAATTCAGTCTTTTTCTGGCCAAAGAGCTTAATGGATCGATTATACTCTCACAGTTCACAATTTAATTTTTCATGCGGTGGAACTTGTTGAACGAAATAATGGAATTGCTTTGGGCGAGCTCAGTGAGGAAGCACTGGAGAGCTGTAACAAGGACGTGCGAAATTATCGAGAGTTCCTGGCACGAAAATGCGCACACATTCCAAATCTGACAGACGTCTTTAATCGCCTCTTTATCAGATCCGATCCTGTCCTGCGTCATATCATCGACCAATGTCAATCAAGAAAAGGTAAACGAGAGAGCTCTTTACAAGTGGCGGGCAGCATGAATGAGGATGACATTTTGTTGAGCCAGCTTCTGATGTGAGATGTTTATCCCTTTTAGTTACTTTTAGTTCTTTTAGTGATTTTTAGCCTGTTTAGTTCCTTTTAGTTACTTTTCATTATTTTAATACTTGATTTGCATGCACTCTCACAGATGAATTTATCCTCCTCCAAGAAGGGAGACCTCTCCGTGGTGAGGAGGAGAAACGCTGATGTTAAAAATAACATCAACGGCTAATGTCCCTTCCACAATTAAACTTACACTTCTTAGTGGAATTATAAGTTTAATTGTGATCTCTGCATGCTCATACGGTTGTTTCACCTCGTTTATAAAAAGGAAAAGTTTTCCTTCTTTATACCCTGAGGATGTCTCTAGTGGATTCAGCCTTTATTTTAACAAAAAGTTCAGTTTTTGACCAAAAACCGGTTTTTCTGGAAAACCAGTAAAATTAAAGTTTTCGAAAATGGGTTTTGACTTCACCATTGGATAGAGGGCACTCGATAACCTTTAAAGAACTATATTTATTATCAACGTAGCACTTCTATCTGCCGAATAAAACCACATGTCTGGCTGCTCTAGCCAAATATGCCCACTGTGCCTAAACAGTGTTAGTATAGTTGTCTAAAATTGTAAAGATTTTTTTTATGTAGCTGCCTTCTGTTTGTTCTACTTTTAGTTGCATCATCGAAGACAGATACATCACCTTGGAAAATTAACATAAATAAATAAAAATAGTCTTTAATTCCTTCAGTTTGTATACTCGCCTTATATATGTAACGATTAATAAATCGATTTCTTTGTTCATCTGCTTGCTTGAAGAAAAGTTTGTTTCTGAAATGTCGACGTGTTGTATATCTTACTTTTTTATCATAAAAATGTGAAATGTTACACGTTCGAGCAGAAACTAACTGAGTTTTTCGGTCATAATCAGCCTGTTTTTTTAATTGTATTTATTTTGAAAAAAATTAGCAATGAAAATTTTTCCCGTACTCTTCTCGTTTGTGTTCCTTTTTCTTTGTATTTTCCGAAGGAATATTTCAACGAAAAGTAGAGATACTGTACGTGTTTAGTTTCTACTTCGATTTGTTTGCGCTTTTTCAATATTTCTTTCGCTCTTTGTCAAATACTGTACTTCTTTGTTATTTGCATTAGCCAGACGAGAAGTTAATTTTAAGGATATGACAGGGTTACAACTTATTTGTATATAATTGAAAACAAAATATCTGAAAATGACTTTGAAACAGATCTCACGAGGAAACTGCCCAAGTGTCCGCTCGCTTTTTTCTTGAAACCTAGTGGAGAATAGGTTATCGACTATGCTAATTCCGAATATGACAATGGTTTTTGCTGCTAGGTCTTCGAAGACCTGGTTTTCTAGAAAACCAGTTTTTCAGAAACCCCCAAAAAATAACCCGAACCTTTCTTAATGAGGCATGATTGTAGCCCGCACATTTCTGATTAAAATGAGACATCTCCCAACTCTACATGACCTTTCTTTGCAAAGTTATAGAATTTACACGAAGAGCCCTAAATTAATTTCTTCTTATTTCTGTAGC